TTTTTTTTAGAGACAGGATCTCGTTTGGTCTCCCAGCTGACGTGCAGTGGCATGATCATAGCTCACTGGCCTTGGCTCAAGTGATCTTCCAGCCTCAGCCTCTTGAGTAGCTGGGACCATAGATGTGTGTCACCACACCTGGCTAGTTGTGTGTGTGTATGTGTGTGTGTGTGTATGTGTGTGTAGATGAGGTCTCACTATGTTGCTCAGGCTGGTCTCCAACTCCTGGCCTCAAGTGATCCTCCCACCTCAGCCTCTCAAAGCATTGGGAGAATAGGTGTGAGGTGCCATACCCAGCCAGATCCTTCGTTCTTGAATTTGCTAATGGTTCTGCCTTGTTAGAAATGTAGCTGTTGCTCATGTTTTAACTGTAACACATAAAACAAAGCAAATGCTCTAGCTCTGCCTGCTAAGTGTCAGATACCTCCTTCCTCTAATCCAAAGACTAGAAGGGTAGGATGCAAGCCCTCAGCTGGCTGACTCTTGTGCCCTGAGGTCTGGAATGCACGATAAGGTCAGAAGGCAGAGGGGCCACCAGCTGTCCATGGGCGGTCTGTAAATGACCTTGGGACAGGCACATACTAGACTTTAAACTAGTTCCTTTTTTTCCCTAGAATTACCGTCGAGTTTCCTGAATGTACCAGAGTGCCCCCAGTAATACCGTGCAGAGCTGAGTACAATTGAGAGTTAATTCTGTCCATGGAAAAGTTGTCCAGTTTGTTTCAGCCAGTCCGGTCAATTTGAGACCCTTTCTAGGGCTTATATTTTTTGTGTGTGGATGTCAGACTGGGGTTTGGATTTCTGTCTGTCAGCAGTTCCATATCTCCGCAGACAATCCCACTGAAAGAAGTTTATCTGTGTGGAAAATGCCTCTTTCTTTTTGGCATTTATCAGGCAGGGGCTTATTTTTGCTTTCCTCAATACAGTTCTGTGACTTGGGTAGGTGGTGGGAGGGCCCAGGCAGGTGAAGAACCAGCTCATGGTCTTGTGTTACGTTGGTGACATGATGGGTGGAGGAAGGGGGTGGGGAGCTCTGTGACTTTCTTTAATGTGAACCCTTATCTCCAAATCACTCATCATAGGAAGCAGGGCCAACATAGGATGTTATACACTGTGGAATTGTACAACTGGAGAGCATAGATAAGAGGAGCATGGTTCTTTTCTTTTTAAAATTTTATTTATTGTGGAAAGAATGCTTCATTGGGCCAGCTTCAGTGGCTCATGCCTATAATCCCAGCACTTTGGGAGGCTGAGATGGGAGGATCATTTGAGCCCAGGACCTCAAGACCAGCCTGGGCCACATGACAAAACCCTATCTCTATTGAAAAAGAAAAGGAAAGAACGTTTAACATGGCATCTACCCTTCTGACTAGAGGCACAGTTTCTGATGACCCCATTCCTCTCTGAGGCAGGATGTGCAATTTGGATATCATCTGTCATTTTCCCTTAAAATGAAAAAGAAGCTTTTGCAAAAAGGAACAAACACAATGTTTTCATTTGGAGCATTTGAGTGTGTAAGCATCACTGATCCTTTTGGGGTTCTGATTGTGATGTATAGGATAAAGTTTTTTCCTTTGTAGAGACAGGGTCTCATCATATTGCCCAGCTGGTCTCAAACCCCTGGGCTCCAGCAATCCTCCTGGTTTGACCTCCCAAGTAGCTGGGACTACAGGTGTGAACCAGAAAGCCCAGCTAATTTTTTACTTTTCTGTAGAGACAAGGTTTTGCTATGTTGCTCAGGCTAGTCTTGAATGCCTGGCCTCAAGTGACTCTCCTGCCTCGGCCTCCCAAAGCACTGGGATTACAGGTATGAGATACCACACCAGGCTCATATTAGGGTCATTACAGATGAATCTTCCTTCAGAAAGAAATCCTTGCAAATATAAAGAAAAATGTATAAGCTGGAGAAAAAAGCAACCTTGGAGTCACACCTGCTACTTATTATTTATACACCTCCCATACAGCTTTCCCCCTCCGTGAAAGTGTACCCTTCTGACAGGGTCTCCTGCTTCATTCGAGACTCATGGCCAGTAAGAGACTTTCCTCACTGCACTCCAGGGATACCTCCTGAACTCTGGGGCAGCTCAGAGAAGTTCAGAAGCCACCCAGGATTACTGCGTGTTTTACATAGTGAAGAAAAAAAGAGAGATTACATAATTTTTGGCAAGAAAAGAGAAAATACAGATTGTTGTCTACTCAGATTATTTCTCTGGGCAACCAGCATATAGCTGCTATCTGTAGAGTCACTTAAACATTTCCCCACCCTGGTATGGAAATAGTGTCTGCCTCCTGTGGAAAATGCAGAAGTTTGAAGTGGGGGCAGGGCGGGGTGGCTCATGCCTGTAATCCCAGCACTTTGGGAGGCCAAAGTAGGCAGATCACTGGAGGTCAGGAGTTCGAGACCAGCCTGGCCAACGTGATGAAACCACATCTCTACTATAATATACAAAATACTCTACTGTAATCTTTACAATAATCTACTATAGTCTCTACTATAGTCTACTATAATATACAAAAATTAGCCAGGCATGGTGATGGGTACCTGTAATCCCAGCTACTTGGGAGGCTGAGGCAGAAGAATCGCTTTAACCCAGGAGGCTGAGGTTGCAGTGAGCCGAGATTGCACCACTGCACTCCAGCCTGGGCCACAGTGCGAGACTCTGTCTCAAAAAAAAAAAAAAGAGAGAGAGAGAAGTTTGAAGAGGAGACATGATGCTCTGTCCTGTTCTCTGATTATCAGCTCTTAGTGAATGCCTTGCTTCCAGCCGCAGCTGTCATTTCCAGGCACCCCAGCCTGCCCAGCAACATTGGCTTGAGTGAAATAACATTTTTCTCCAAGCTTACCTGTGTTTTCCACATTTTGTATTTGGAAACCTATATTGTTATGTATTTCAGGAAATAAGAGCAACTTTTAACAACGTGACAGTAAGCTCTACGTCACCTATCCGCATCACACAGTATTCAGGGTGGTGTAAGAGAAATCGAGACTTTAAGTTCTTGTGATGTTTCTCCTGTGGTGTAGGTAGAGAAATTTTAACTTCTCAGTCTTTTTCCAGGCCCTCAAAAGCAGCCTTTCAGAGGCTTTTTTCCTAGAAAGTTGGTAGGAGGCCTTTTAAACTTTTCTTTATTTGTCCAACAGGTGACCTGCCTCAGCATCTTCAGGTGATGATCAACCTTCTGCGTTGTGAAGACAGAATCAAGCTGGTAAGAAGCAGTGAGAATGTCAAGTTAAAAAAAAATTTTTTTTTTTTTTTTTTAATTTTAATGAGATGGGGTCTTGCAGTGTTGTCCAGGCTGGAGTGCGGTGGCATGATCCTAGCTCACTGCAGCCTCAGACTCCTGGGTTGAAGCAATCCTCCTACCTCAGCCTCCTGGGTAGCTGGGACTACAAGTGTGTGCCACTCTGCCTGGCTAATTTTTTAAAAAATGTTTGTGGATATGGGGTATTGCTTGTTTGCCCAGACTCATCTTGAACTCCTGGCCTCAAGCGATTCTCCTGCCTCTGCCTCCCAAAGTCCTGGGGTTATAGGTATAAGCCACCATGCCCAGCCAGCAAGTTTTAATTTTTAATTGTGAAACTTGGTGGGGAACCATCCATGGATGATAGGGGGGAAAGCTTTTACGTTACAACAAATGCTCCCCAAATTGTTCACCACAGCCAAAGCCAGGTTGACTCCTCAGTACCCCAGAGGGGCCAGAGGAGGGATGAAACAGGGCTCCACAGCAGTTGTCCTAAATAAGAACTTTCTTTGAATTTCATTTGTTCACTGAGTTCATGCATTTGTGGGTGTCTGCTCTGAGTCAGGCAGTGTCCCTGGTGCTACAGAGAGAAACAAGGCCTGGTTCCTGCTCTCAAGAATTTCCTCTTTGTTTTTTTGTTATGTTTTGAGACAGAATCTCACTTTGTTGCCCTGGCTGGAATGTGGTGGCGCGATCTCAGCTCGCTGCAACCTCTGCCTCCTGGGGTCAAGCAATTCTCATGCCTCAGCCTCCCGAGTAGCTGGGATTACAGGCGCACACCACCACACCCATCTAATTGTTGTATTTTTAGTAGAGATGGGGTTTTGCCATATTGGCCAGGCTGATCTCGAACTCCTGACCTCAAGTGACCTGTCTACCTTAGCCTCCCAAAGTGCTGGGATTAGGGCCTCAGCCACCATGCCCAGCCAAGAATTTACTCTTCGTTTTTAACTCCCAGAGGGATAGGTAGAACACTGAAAGTGTTGATCTTGCATTGGAGATGGGACAGAGGCACCACCTCTAAAGCAGGCCAGTGAGAGCGTGTCTGCCCTGTTCCAGGCCGTGCGCCTGGAGAGCGCCTGGGCGGACCGGGTCCGGTACATGGTGGTGGTGTACAGCAGTGGGCGCCAGGACACCGAGGAGAATATCTTGCTGGGAGTGGACTTTTCCAGTAAGGAAAGGTGAGTCTGATGGGCTAGGTGTTCCCTCTGCGAGGGGGCAAGAGTTGGTGCTGGAAAAAGGTTTCCATGGTCCCATAGCCATCAGAGGTGGGAGAGGGCTGCATCCTGATGGAACGCTAGGGTGTGCCAGGCACCGTGCCAGTTCCAGGCTGTGCTCTCGGAGCACAGAGTCAATTGAGAGGACAGAAAGTTGTGCTTAGAGGTTTCATACCAGCTACTGTAGAGTGGGGCACCCTAGCCAGGAATGCTTCCTGAAGGAGGTGACAGCAACACCGAACACAGAAGGCCAAACTGGAGTCAGCCAGGGGAAGCAAGGAGACCCTCCTGGGCAGAGGGGCCCGTGGAGAAGTGTGGAGGCTGGTGGGCTTCATCCCAGACACCTGACCCCATAGTGATACTCCATGGATTTTCAAGTGCTTCATGGCAGGTTCTAGGTCAGAGGGTTTAAGAGTAGCTTGTAATTTCCCACTAACTGGAGGCCAAGGAAGTTATAGCATTGACCCCATGATGTGTGTGAGATGAGGGTTGAATCACTCCCCTGACATCTCAGATAAGTGAATGCCTGTGAGATCATTGCAAAACCTGGATTTGTTAAAACTAGATTAGGCTCCCTTTTTTCATCCTTTCATCAACTCATTCTTTAAGCATATGATTTATTTGCGTTCTCCTGTGTATGAGGCAATGGGCTAGGCCCAGGTAAACAAAGAAACAGCAGTACACACAGTTCTTAGCCTCAGAGAGCTTCTAAGCAAGCAGGAAGACAGTCACAACCAGGTAGGACGGAGACAGTGATCGCAGGAGGGGGCGGCTGTTGAG